GAGCTAATATACTTTTTCTTGTGTGCAGGTAATGGACTTGGATCGAAAAGTGAGAAGGGGTCGTGAACGCTTAGCCCAAGAAGACATCACACCCACTCCTCCTGTATCTGCAGAGAAGTCGGAGCAGCTAAGTATACTGGAGGAGAAGATAAAGAAGCTTCTTGAGCAGGTGGAATCTCTTGGGGAAGCTGGAAAAGTGGACGAGGCTGAAGCACTCATGAGGAAGGTGCTCTTCTTTATCGTTATTAACTTGTATTCTTCTGGGAAACTATCAAATATCAGACATTTTGGAAAGAGCTACGGGTCAGCTTTGGGAAGAACTACTAGCACCTGTCATGAGAAGCCAAACATACCTATACGCTTCTCTCTCTCTGTGCATGAGCTGTGAGAGGCTTTCTTCAGCAGTTATGATGTGCCCCTGCAGTGCAGGATGCAAGTAGAGGTTGGGGTAATTAGTATGTAATAGGCCAATGGGAAGGACGGGGCGATCATTTGGGTGGCCTCATCTTTAATTACCAATGATTGTGTAATAATTCTGTGTTGCTGGTTTCACAATTTTTCCTAAAAAGACTTGTGCTGTACTTTCAGTTTTTATCTGTAGTTAAAGGCAGAAGTTCTTGAAAACAACAATTCAATACTTCTGCCCTGCCCCGTTTCAGGTGGAGATGTTGAATGCTGAGAAGACCCTCATGACACAGCAAGCCACAAATGAGAGAGGGCTCACTCTCACTCAAGAGAAGAAGATGGCCCTCTGTGAGATTTGTGGCTCTTTCTTGGTTGCAAATGATGCGGCTGAGAGAACTCAATCGCATATAACTGGAAAGCAGCATATTGGGTATGGCATGGTACGAGATTTCATTAGTGAATTCAAGGTAAGCAGCTCCATGTTATTTCTTAGGAGACAATTTAGAACGTTGCTTTCTCTCTGCAGCTCCATGTTATTTCTTAGGAGACAATTTAGAACGTTGCTCTCTCTCTTGTTTGTTACTCGTTCAATGAATCTCTCTCTCTTGCTCTCTAGAACACACTCATTCAGAGTCTTCAAATGGACCTAACTCTGTAACTGAGGCTCTTTCATGACCACCCTCTCTCTCTCTCTCCTCTCCCTCAGGTCTGTCAGTGGTCTCTCTCTCTCTCTCTCTCTCTCTCAGACACACACACACACTCATTCACCCATACCCCCCCTGGGGTTAGGCATGGATCCTTTCCTTTGCGAACTTAAAGTCTTGTTTCCTCAGTTTTGCAATCTGTTGGTATTCTTACGTTGACTGCTTTATTCGTTGTGATAGGCGGCCAAGGAGAAAGCGAGAGAAGAAGAGAGATTAGCAAGGGAGAAGGAAGCGGAGGAGAGGAGAAGGCAGAGAGAGAAGGAAAGTGAGAGTAGAGTGAGAGGGAGGGACATGGATGAGAGAGGGAGGTATCGAGAACGTGACCGGGACTGGGAAAGGGATAGAGAACGGGACCGGTCTAGGGAGCGAAGCCATAGAGGAAGCTGGGAAAAAGGGAGGGGAAGGGATTGGAACCATAACCACTACAGGGGTGGCAGGGATACCAGAGGCCGTTCTCCTCCAAGGCACAGTCGTCGAAGATCCTCAAGAAGCCCAGGCCGTGTTTATTAGTGTGAACCATAGATGTCTTCGTACACCTTAAGAAATGAGGTAGACAATTCTCTCTCATCACTATTATTAAAGAAAAACTCCTCTCTCTCTCTCTCTTCATATATCTATTCTTGATATTGATTACTCTTCCACAAATGACTGAAAAGCATTAATGGCGCATTATGGGTACAAATGGTGATCTAACAGCTCTGTTGTGATTGTACTGGGTTGATATGTCAAAATTTTCTTGAGAGAAGAATATGGAGGTAGGTCTTTCTGTTTTTGTTGCTTTGGATGTCTACTTATGCTTTTGAGAAAATGAGGTAGACCCATTTCTCTCTCTCTCTCTCTCTCTCTCTCTCT